GTACCCTTTAATGTGTACAAGCAATTTATCAACATATGTACATATTCTAGTGTCCTGTGTACTTTCTAATGTGTTACAAAAAGTGTTTCAATGTATGTACATATATACACAATACATGTTCAAGAGACTGTTCTCTTCTAAGTTGCTGGTTTAAAAAAAAAAAGTGTTTTTTAAAACCATATAGAATATATAATTATAAATACAACTTTTTCGCTAGCAAACAGTGATTGGGGGTGTGAAGAAAAAGTCACCCAATTAAGATTGTGATTGGCCAGAAGGTGCAGAAATTACAGCCTAGCAATACTTTTTTAACCAAATCAGTTGTCTCATTAAAAATAATGATAGCTGCCTCTAGCTGAGGCCAAATGACCCTACTGAACAATGGAGTATTGTAATAACCGGGAGTGAGTGGGGGGAAATGACAGCTCAGTGGGACATTAAAAAGTACAACATCACATAAGTCAGTGGTTTTCAATTGTTGATCTGGGGGCAAATTTATGGGGTCTGTGACAACATTTGCAAACACACACACACACTAATTTATATATATATATATATTCATGTGTGAATGTGTGTGTATATATATATATACATATATATATAAAGCTGTTAAAACATGTCGTAATTGGTTGTAATTCTAATATAGATTTTTTTTTTAAATGTTTAAATTGACTGTTAATAAGTATAGGAGCATGGAAGGCCTCTGAAAATAAACGGGGTCTGCAGGTCGTATCTAACTTGTAACCACTGATATAAGGACCTGCTAATCAACAGATGGTTTTAGTATTGAAACAGTGAATTCTTATGATGACATGCTTTCTTTCTCCACTTCTATAGACACTTGCAGTGTGTTTCAGGACAGTAACCTTTCTTACAGTTTGAAAAACACCATTTTGAGATTCCCTTCATCTTAGCCCATTTTCCAGCTCCCTTACATGCTTTGATATTCTTGAAATCAATTATCGAACCGTCTTTGCCGACACCAGCATCAGCCTTCCCCCCACCAAAGTTACTTGGCTCGTAGTCGTAATCGGCTTTACCGCTGCTGTCATATTCGTTAATTTCTTTACCACTAGCACCATTAGCATCACCTTTGCCACCATCGTCTCCCTTGCCACTGTCCCCTCCATTACTTCCTTTGCCACTTTCATCTCCGTTACCCCCCTTGCCACCACTACCTCCTTTACCATTGTCTGCCCCGTACTCTTTAGCATCAGCAGACTCTCCCTTTCCACCACCAAAATCATAATCTTTACCACCATTACCACCACTTTTGCCACCATCAAAATCTTTACCACCCCCGTTATTTCCTTTTCCACCATCACCTCCCTTGCCAACATCACCCCCATTACCTTCCTTACCACTACCGCTCCCATTCTCTCCCTTACCACTACCACCCCTATTATCTCCCTTACCACTACCGCTTCCATTACCTCCCTTACTACTAGCACCACCATTATCTCCCTTATCACTACCGCCTCCATTACCTCCCTTGCCACTTGCCACCATTATCTCCTTTACCACTGTCACCTCCCTTACCCGTGTCTCCTCCATAATCTTTAGCGTCAGCGGACTCACCTTTACTACTATCGCCATCATAATCATTACCACCTCCATTACCTCCCTTGCCACTATCACTCCCCTTGCCACCATCACCTCCCTTGCCACCATCACCTCCCTTGCCACCATCACCTCCCTTGTCAGTAGCACCTCCCTTGCCACTGCCATAATCATAATCTTTGCTGCCCCCATTACTTCCCTTGCCACCATCACCTCCCTTGCCACCATCCCCTGCCTTGTCAGTTTCACCTCCCTTGCCGCTGCCATAATCATAATCTTTGCTACCTCCATTACTTCCCTTACCACTACCACCTCCTTTACCTTCATTACCACTGTCACCCCCATTACCTCCTTTACCACTATCACCTCCATAATCTTTGGCATCAGCAGACTCACCTTTACCATCTGCGTAATCTTTACCAGCTCCATTACCCCCCTTGTCACTACCATAATCGTAATCTTTGCCGCCTCCATTACCTCCCTTACTACCTCCATTATCTCCCTTTCCACTATCACCTCCCTTTCCACCATCACCTCCCTTTCCACCATCACCTCCGTTACCACTATCACCTCCATTACCTCCCTTGCCACTACCATTATCTCCCTTACCACCTCCATTACCCCCTTTGCCACTGTCACCTCCATAATCTTTAGCATCTGCGGTCTCACCCTTACCGCTACTGACATCGTAGTCTTTACCTCCTCCGCTATTACCCTTACCACCTCCATTACCTCCCTTATCATCATAATCCTTACCGCCCCCATTATCTCCCTTACCACTACCACCTCCACTGTCTCCCTTACCACTACCGCCTCCATTATCTCCCTTGCCACTACTGCCTCCCTTACCACTACTGCCTTCAAAATCGCTATCATCTTCATTATTACCGCCTTTACCGGCACTGCTTTCATAATCGGTAAAACTGGCACTTTTACCTCCATAATCTTTACCCCCAGCTTCTTTCTTACCACTACCTTCATTATAAGCCTTACCTCCCCCATTCCCGCCCTTGCTACTACCGCCTGTCAAACCACTTTTACCACTCCCCCCTATATACGCTTCAATCTTTCCGCTAATCTTATACTTACCGCCATATCCGCTTCCACTTTTGCCAGCCTCAACGTAATCTACATTACTGTCGCCATAATCTTTGCCACTGCTTTCAGTGCTGTCATAATTCCCACCCTTTCCACTACCACTTCCTTTTCCCTCAAACCCTTTACCGTCGCCATTGTTACCTTTCCCAGTACTTCCTTTTCCTTCACCACCATATCCTTGCTCCTCGCCTGTATATCCCTTTCCACTACTTCCTTTTCCGTCACCACCACCGCCCTTTCCACCACTTCCTTTACCGTCGCCACCATCCCCCTTTCCACCGTCACCTTTTTCAACACCACCATACCCTTTTCCACCATTGCCTTTATCGCTACCACCAAACCCTTTATCATCGCTGCCATAACCTTTTTTGTCACCTCCATAGCCTTTAACACTTTCGCCTTTATCATCACCACCTTTGCCACCACCATTAAATCCTCCATCACCAGCAACCTGTTCGCTACCGCCATACCCTTTATTACCTTTGCCATTATCACTATAACCTTTGTCACCATTGCCTTTATCCCCAGCTCCTTTACCGCTGCCGCCATACCCTTTCCCACCATATTCTTGATCTTCGCCCTTCTCGCCATCACCTTTATCATTACCACCATAACCTTTACCCTCATCGCCTTTACCATTACCGCCAAACTCTTTCTCACCATCGCCTTTACCACCATTGCCTTTATCATCACCGCCATACCCTTTATCACCATCACCTTTACCACCATTACCTTTATCATCACCGCCATACCCTTTATCACCATCACCTTTACCACCATTTCCTTTATCATCACCACCATACCCTTTCTCACCATCACCTTTACCACCATTTCCTTTATCATCACCACCATACCCTTTATCACTATCACCTTTACCACCATTTCCTTTATCATCACCGCCATACCCTTTGTCACCATCGCCTTTACCACCATTGCCTTTATCATCACCGCCATACCCTTTATCATCATCGCCCTTATAGCCACCACTATACCCTTTCCCACCATTGCCTTTGTCGTCACCCCCATACACTTTACCCCCGTATTCTTGATCCTCGCCCTTCCCGCCACTGCCTTTATTATCACCGCCGTAACCTTTACCCCCATCACCTTTACCCCCATCACCTTTACCCCCATCACCTTTACCGTCATCACCATACCCTTTACCCCCATCACCTTTACCGTCACCACCATACCCATTACCCCCATCACCTTTACCCCAATTACCTTTACCGTCACCACCATACCCTTTACCCCCATCACCTTTACCGTCACCACCATACCCTTTACCCCCATCACCTTTACCGTCACCACCATACCCTTTACCCCCATCACCTTTACCTTGACCGCCATAACCTTTCCCGTCAACCCCTTTGCCATTTCCGTCGCCCGCACCACCATAACCCTTTCCGCCTTTAATACCAGATTTCTCACTATCTTCAGCGTTATCGTAATCGCCCCCACCAGCCTTTACGTCAGCATTCCCTGTTTTAATACAGTCCTTACCTTCCCCCTTGCCTTCGCCGCCACCAGAGATTTTACCGGCTTTCGTCGAAAAATCAGAACCGCCATTTTCTTTGCCATCTGCAAAAACACCTTTCTCTGCATTACCGCCTTTGAATACTTCTGCTCCTTCATTGCTGCTCTCTCCAGTGTAATCAAATGCGTCTCCCTTCCCACCACCTCCTCCGCCTTTTCCAAAGTCCTTGTTTTTACTTTTTATATTACCACCATTATCTCCCCCTTTACAAATGCTTCCTTTGCCAGATTTACAGTCGCTTCCGCCATTTCCGCCGCTGCCTTTTTCACCTTTGCCCAAACCCGTATCAGCGGAATCTCCTTTGCCGTTCCCTTCGCCATAATCGTCTCCCCCGTCAGAACTGGCACCATCACAACCACTGTAATCGTTTTCACCCTTCCCAGCTTTATAATCACCTTTTTCGAAGGTCCCTTTTCCAGCATCTCCACTACCTCTTTTTCCATTTATGCCTCCTTTCGCTCCTCCACAATCACCTTTCCCATTTCCACCCTTGCCCTCGCTGTAGGCACCAAGTTTTCCACCGCCATTGTCAGCTTTCCCTCCAATCAAACTCTTTCCTGAAACTCCACCGGACGCACTTCTCTTATGACGACGTGATATCCCATTACCAAGGAATATTTTGCTTTTATTCTGGATCTTTCCAATGTCAACTTTGTTGATATCGACTCTGCTCACTTTGACGGCAATGTCACGTTTACCTGGGGCTACTTCGCTTTTGGAGAGGTCCACATTATCATCTGAGACGATGACCACATCTGCACAGGCGTAGTACTGTTCTTCATGGTTGCAGCCGATACAGGACCAGTTATCTTCGGGGGCCCAGTTTCCTGGTGAATAAGATAATAGTTTTTATATAGAAACACCTTTGAATTATTGAGTCACAAACAATCAGTCACTTAATCTGGAGCATTTCACGTTGAAGGTCGGCTTCAACGGATCTTCAACGCGCTATGCCTTTCACCCTGGATTTACACTCTCCCCAACTGCTGTTAATCCATCTCTCAATTGGAATCGCTATCTGTCTCTTGTTCACTTTTCCCTTCAGTTTGGGTTTTTCATTTAACCAAAACATTTCACTCGACTTGAAAAAAACAAATTCTTCAGCAACTCTCTTTGCATTCCTAATTTTGTTTGTATTTGACTCCCCCCCCCCCCTCCTCCCCTTCCTACCTCTCCCCATTTTCCCCTCTTAAATACTACCTATTCTTTCGTCTATCCACACCTCCAGAGACCTTACACGATTTTCTATCTATGCATTGTCCTGGTTTCTGCCTCATACGGCACGATTGAGTATGCACACCACTTGACAAATTTCATTTCAAATGTGCGGAATATCTTTCTAGATCCACTAGAGCAAAGGTTCTCAACCTGTGTGTCGCGACCATTTTGTGTGTGGGTCCCCTTTCACAGGGGTCGCCAAAGACCGTAGGAAAAAAAAAAAAAAAAATTCATTAAAGTTATGAAGCAGCAAAGAAAATGTTGCATGGTTTGGGGTCGCCACAACATGAGGAACTGTACTAAAGGATCGCGACATTAGGACAGTTTAGAGTCATTTTACTAGAGTTATAATCGAAGACACTTGAGTCTTTCTAGAAAATCGGCAGTTAATCTGAGCTTGTTGGGTTTTCTACACTGTTCATACTGCATTTAAAAAACAACTTAGGTTAGTTGCGTATCCTTTCCAGGACGTTGCAGAAAAAACCCCATCAGCCCCAGGCTGTTGTGTGGTTTCTCTAAGCACATTTACGTCGAGTAGTTTGCCATTGCTACTGGACGGTCGGCTTCCTGATACCACTGTCGAAGCCAACGCAAGGAGCATGGCCCGCAGTTGGGATAGAACCCGGCACCCCGGAATTACGAAGCGTTAGCCACAGAGCCGACTTAAAAAAAAACTGCTTAGCTATAAAATAGAAATATCACTAATATACATTAGTAAGCCAGTAAGGAGTTTATTTATTTAGCTGTTATTGTCCAATAATTATGGGGAAAATTGAAAGGAAAATCAAATTAAAGAATTTAAATTTCCATGAAGTATATTCTGGGAGTATGGCAGAATGGATAGATTAGAAACAAGACGCCAGGATGATAGTGCACTTATGACACAGAACTTCCTAGTGTACGGTTTGGGCCTCATTTGGGGATGGGGGGGGGGGTGGTGGATGTAGATCCAGGCCACCTAGTAAACGTGTCGTAAAAGGCGACTTATTAGAGGTGTTGCTTGGAAGTCAGAGTGCGTTTTTTCTGAGAAAACCAACAATCTGCATATAAATAAGCCACATTTGTAAAGCGGAGTAAACACGCAAAACTCAGGTTCTGGACAAGTCTGAAGTGGACGGACAACCAGAGCCAGTTGAAGTTTACAGCCGGAAAACTTGAGTACGTCATGACAGCAGGAAAGTTGGAGAGGAGCAGAGGCAGAGGGAGACCGAGAGAACATATGCTGGACACTCTGACAGCATGGAATGGAAGATCATCTGTATTAAAGCTGACTGAATGTTGTGGATAGACATGACTACCAACACCACAAGGCATGGACTTATAGAAGAAGAAGAATGCCAAGAAGAAGAAGAAGAAGAAGAAGAAGAAGAAGAAGAAGAAGAAGAAGAAGAAGAAGAAGAAGAAGAAGAAGAAGAAGAAGAAGAAGAAGAAGAAGAAGAAGAAGAAGAAGAAGAAGAAGAAGAAGAAATTATACAAACTGACGCTGTTATTAAGACATCAAACCAAATATATGACTGCAACTATACAGATCGTTAATAACACATTCAAATCAACAATGTGCTACCAATGACAGACTCAGACATTATCAAAGGATCACCTTTTTGTAAACTAACACATGCGAAAAGCGTAGGCCGTAAACTTAACCATCCTAGACCGAGTGAGAAATGATTCTTTCAGAAGTGTACGGGTACAAAACAGTGCACCAAATTAATTGAGAAGCGAAAGATCACAATGGCTTAGTTATCTGATTAGAGTGCAGCCACATCTTCTTCATCTACTATTTTCTACCGCTCAGTGGTGCATAGGCCCTTAACCAAATCACACCAAGTCATTCTTTATTTTGCGTGGTCTGCCTTTATTTCTATGCTCTGTTGGTTTCAGTGCAAAGACATTCAAGCTATATTATTCTTAGGCTTTTTCAAAGTGGGTCCTATCCAACGCCAGCGTTTTTTCTTCTTCACCTCCTGGTCCACTGGAACTTATTTAGTTCTCTCCCCAAAGCTCAGCGTTAGTGATTCTATCATATCAAGCAGCCACAACTACCGACGCGTAAAAAGATTAAATGGAGGAGACACAGTACCGCCAGGAGATGACAGAATAATAATTCTCAAAGTGATTATACACCCACACGGAATGACAATAGTCAGTGCTACCTACTCAGTTAGTTAATTGGTTAGTCGAAAGAATAAGTCCATATAGCGTTTGGATTCAATCTTCAGTATATCTTTCGGCGAGTTGCGACTGATAACCTCCAGTTCCGTGTTGGTTTAGTATTCTTCGTATTGGCTACCTGTATAGTGCTCACGTTTAGCGACACCTTATTTGACCCGAAGGACGTGTAATCTTTTGAGTGTTTCCGATTCAACGTCGTCTCTTGAATCCACTTCTCCTCCTGCCTCCTTGAGAGCGTTGAGAATGTCGGCCCGGTCCATTGCTTTTCTTGTACCTACCGTGGCCCTGCCAGCAAGCCAGTCCGCTCGTTTATTCCCTCTTACTCCAGAGTATCCCGGCACAAAAATGAAATTAATTCCTTTCAGACGAGATTTCCTCAGCGACGCCAACGATTTTCTTCTCTAACTTACCCGATGCTACAGCACCAAATATTCAACTCCACGACGCTTAACTGCAAAAGTCGAAGTCGATGCAAATTTTGAGTTCAGACATAAGTACTAAGCATGTTTTAACGAATAAAATCAATATAACTGCAAGCTTCGGAAAATAAACAAACTAGAAAAAAAAAAAATCTTAGCTTACCCATATTCCATTTCCATTGGAAAGAGACAGTTTTTGCAGGTGAGACCTTCGGAAAGGCGAACTTTGATGGTTTGATCTCCGTTGGCGAATTCGCCAGGTAGATAGAACCTACAGAATTAATGTTGAGTGTCATTAGCTTTGTTTAACAAATCAACACATTATTAATCGTTTCAAATCCTATATGTAGTCAGAGACTATAAAGAGTTTTCATGTGTAGTTGTTTCTTAGAGTGGGTGTTCGTTTGCCATGTGAAGTAAAATGAGTTTCTTGTTGTCATAACTGCCTCCCAGGGTTAAAAATTTTTTTTAAATTTGTTTATCCCTTCCAGGTTTCTGGTAATTTGGTAATCCTAGTTTCAGCTTCATAGCAAACGGGTCACCCCATAGTTGCTCCGCTCCTGTGCCAACGAAAAATACACGTAGCTCACAGTGTCACACCATGCACTCAACTCAGAAGCTGGGCGACGAAACTATATGCTTCCAGTCTACAAATGGAAACCCTTCCAGGTTTGCATACTGTAGGAATAACATCTCAAGGATGAGAATGCAATCGTGGAAACCCTGGTCAGGGTTGTAGCCATACAGAATAGTTATACTAGGGCACCGCGAAACGGTTGCGAAGTATTAACATTCTGGGACAGAAAGATTTAAACAGTTATGTGCAGTGAGAATCGAAAATATTGTTTTAGAAATTCCACGAATCCAAGGTTGATTTGAATTATTTCTCGATTTATCGACAGTATAAAGGGCGACCCAGCCTTATGTGCCCAATACACCTATAGGTGGGAAAAAATGTGTTTCACTTAAAAAAAAAAAAAAACTTTTCATATAGAAGATTATGCCAGGATAATAGTCACAAATTTAGCTGATGCGATACATTTGACAATTCTTTTCTCTTCTAAACTGTACTCCTGTGTTTCTCCTTAAATACTTATTTCTTCGGTTGTTGTTGTTGTTGTTGTTGTTGTTGTTGTTGTTGTTGTTGTTGTTGTTGTTGTTGTTGTTGTTCTTCTTCTTCTTCTTCGGTCTTCTTCTTCTTCTTCCTTCTTCTTCTTCTTCTTCTCTTCTCTCTTCTTCTCTTCAGATTCTTCTTCTTCTTCTTTCTTCTTCTTCTTTCTTCTTCTTCTTCTTCTTCTTCCTTCTTCTTGCTTCTTGTCTTCTTCGTCTTCTTCTCTTCTTCTTTCATCCATCTTCTTCTTTATCCATCTCTTCTTCCCTTCCCCTTTCTTCAACTTCTTCTTTCCCACATCATTATCTTGTTCTTCTTCTTCTTCTTCTTTCTTCTTCTTCTTCCTTCTTCTTCTTCTTCTTCTTCTTCTCTTCTTCTTCTTTCTTCTTCTTCTTCTTCTTCTTTTCTTCTTCTTCTCTTTTTCTTCTTCTTCTTCTTCTTCTTCTTCTTCTTCTTCTTCTTCTTCTTCTTCTTCTTCTTCTTCTTCTTCTTCTTCTTCTTCTTCTTCTTCTTCTTCTTCCTCTTTCGTTCTCCATTTGTGTACTGAAAACATGAATCTATTGTGCTTACCTGGTTCTACCGTCCTCTAGAGACATCAGGTGCTTGTCCAGACATTCCTGGGTGACCTCCACCAGATTTCCCGAGGAATCATACTCCAGGTCGCCGACCTCGGGATCATCGTAAGCACAGAGGCGGAATTCTATCCATCCCCTGGAAAAAAATACAGTAAATGAATTAATTCAAATATGACACTGTAGGGACATACATAACCAGAGAGGAAACACTTGAGGCCGTAGAAACATTATATATATATATATATATATATATATATATGTGTGTGTGTTTGTGTGTAAGTAACAGGCTCATGGTAGCTGCTATAACTTTGATTAGGCTGGAAACGCGAACTAAAAACTTGTTAGATTTAGTCACAGAGCAGAAAATTGCTCTCCTTTTTTTGGGCTGTTGGCTCTGCTTGCTCTCAACGTTTGGCGATTTGCTCTGTGCTCTGTGGTATTGGCTGGTTGGGCTGTGGGGTGAGACATGTGTAAAAATGATTTTTCGTTGTTTAGTCGTTTTTGGCTTTTAACTCAACATGGATTCGGTGAGGGTTATAATATTTTAGTGGTTCCTTCGTGGTGTGATATTTGGCAGTTACAGTGTGTTAGATCCAGGTCTCAGTGTGTATTCCGAGTAGTACCTTTAGTTCGCACACGTGTTCTGTCTTGGTGTTGCCTGTGTAGTTATATGTGTGTAGTTAGATATTGAACTGCTATTGCAATTCTGTTTACGAGGGAGTGGTTTGTGTCTATTGTTCACGTAGTAATATTATTGTTCATTTACATCATCATATATTTAGTTATGTCGATTGTCGGTGTTCTTTTTCTTCTTCTACTTCTTCTTCTTCTTCTTCTTCTTCTTCTTCTTCTTCTTCTTCTTCTTCTTCTTCTTCTTCTTCTTCTTCTTCTTCTTCTTCTTCTTCTTCTTCTTCTTCTTCTTCTTCTTCTTCTTCTTCTTCTTCTTCTTCTTCTTCTTCGATCCTTCTGTCATAGAACTTATTCAGGAGATCGGAAGTCTTTATGAAAGCTATCGTGCAGTCCTCTCGTGTACCATATAGCTTTGTCTTCATTGTTGTTGGAACAGGCCAGATTATGTCTCTGTTGTTAGCATACAGTTGACAGTGTAGGAGCACATGCTCAGCATTTTCGGGTGCCACGCTGCAGGAACACGTCTCCGTTTTTCCTACACCGAAGAATTTAAACATATTTTGAGGAAGTCTGTTTAACCCAGTCCTTAGTCTGAATATAATACACTGTCCCTTTCTAGAGAGTCGGCTCTGTGGCTAAGTCGATGCGAACGCTTCGTAATGTTGGGATACCAGGTTCGATCGCAGCTGCGGGCCATGAGCCTTGCGTTGGTTTCGACAGTGGTATCAAGAAAGCCGACCGTCCAGTGGCAATGGCAAACTACTGGACGTAAATTTGCCTAGAAAAACCACACAACAGCCAGGGGCTTGTTGGGGTTGGTTCTGCAACGTCCTGTAAAGGATTCGCAACTAACCTTAACCCTTTCTAGAGAGGCGATGAAGCAAGTCTTGGAGAGAGAAATTGGTGTGTTTATCCATTCACCTTTCTTGGATATTAAGACTGTATTAATGTTTTCGTCTCTTGGTGGGTTAAGTCCCTATTTGGTTGTACCATGTCACTGCCGCTTCTGGTCAATCTGTCAGCTTTTTCATTGTCTTCTAAGCCACAGTGACCACTGCAGTACGGATTGTTCTATTGAAGAGCCTAAGTAAATCAGCTGTTGCGTCAAGTCTACAAAATGAGTGTTTTTTGAATTAACAATTGCATGTAGAACTGACATAGCATCAGTCAGAAAGACCACTCTGCTATATTTGCTGTGCTGTTGTGCAAACAGACAGACTGCTGGGGTCAGAAAGATGTGTTATTTTGTCAGGAAGCTCTACTCTCACATGTGGCTGATTGACCTGACCCGGTTTTCAATGTTTATTTTACTAACAGCTTTTTACTCTCACATGTGGCTGATTGACCTGACCTGGTTTTCAATGTTTATTTTACTAACAGCTTTTTACTCTCACCTGAAGCTTATTGGTATGATCAAGCTTTGGCTATTTTACTAGCAGGCTTTACTTTTAAGTTAGTTACTTTGGGTATTTTCTCTGGGACTTTATGATAAAGTGGGCGGGGCAGAGGGTAAAGGTTCTAAGGAATCAAATGGAAAGATCAAAAGACCAGACAGATAATCCGTACACTGGAAGACTAGTTCAACTAATTGGTTGGGGAAAATAAGGGGAGGGGGGGGGGGGGTGTTAGTAGAGGTTTTGGAAGAAATTCAAAAGGAAACATAGGCGGACTTTTAACCAGATTGCAACTGGTACCATTAGCATGTCGACTCTCGGTTGCCTTCTGAAGAAGGAGACGGAGCACGTCGGGGAATGTCCCGAGTGCAGTGATGTCAATTCTTAATTCATTTCTTCAATTCTTCAGGTTATACATGAGTATTGGGAAATTAACAGCCAGACAAATTGGTTGATTCTGCACCAATGATGGCACGTTTAGGCATGACAAGCTAGATGTGGTCATAGCCCTGTAAAAATAAGTGAACAATGCGTGGGCAGCAATGTACCATTATGGTCTGGAGAGAATGGTACAGCTAGGAGTGACCAGTGGCTCTGGCCGAGTCTCTACACTCAGAAGGAAGGCAAAGCGGACAGATATTTGAACTTCTACTGGCAAGATTGGAACTGGATTTCTTCGCTGACTGCTGAAGATGAGGATGGAGAGTTTATGGGAATATGCCTAAGGCTATGGTGTCGGTTCTTAGCTTAGTTCTTAACACTAAACATCCAACACTGAATACTCAACATCCAACATTTAACACCGAACACTGAATACTCAGCAGCCAACACCGTACACTCAACAACACAATCACCTGTGGTTGGCTGTGATCCTAAGAGTCACGTTGATGAAGCTGCCAGATCTGTAAGTCCTTGTGGGAGTCCCCGTGTAGTAGTGTCCACCTCTTTCGTGTGCTCGCGGTAGAGGGAAGTAAGGGTCGCCACACACACCACAACGGCCACCGAACCTGCCCCAGTGAGCCTGTCAGACGGGGGGAAATGTTGATTTAGGCATGCATGTAAACAAAACAACAGTGTAGACATAAGTATTAATAGTAATTGTAGCAGCTGCAATAGTAGAAATGACAGTAGTTTTTGTTTGTTGTTTGTAAAGTGTAGTGAAAGTGATGATGGTGGTGGTAGTAGTAGTAGCATCAGCAGCCGTAGCAGCATTAGCAGTGACAGCGGCAGAAGTAACAGTAGTAATAGTAGTCGTAGCAGCAGCAATAGTTGTAGTAGTAGTAGCAGCAGCAGTAGCAGCAGCAGTAGCAATATCAGCATTATTAGTAGCATTAGTAGTAGCAGCATCAATCAATCCGCATCGCGCCTAGAGGCACATAGGGCACAGACTTACTGTCGCCACTCAATTCGATCCTGAGCCATGATCTCTAACTCCAGTTTTGTCCTTCGTGTAGCCTTGAGTTCAGCCTGAAAGGTTCGCAGCATCAGCAGCAATAACGCCAGTAGTAGTAGTAGCAATAGCAGCTGTAACAGCAGCAGCAATAGTAGTGACAACAGCAGCAGTAGCAACAGCATTAGCGGTGGCAGTAGTAGTAGTAGTAGTAGTAGTAGTAGTAGTAGTAGTAGTAGTAGTAGTAGTAGTAGCAGTAGTAATATAGCGTGAGGTAGTAGTAAAGTCGATAGGTAGTAGTTAGTATTATCCGCTAATTGTAATAGTAGCTGAGGTTAAAGTCGATAGGATTGACCTAATTGCAACATGTTTTATCCTAACGTGCTCGGCCTCTCTCCATACAACAGCTATCTACCTTTCGAAAGCGTCGCATAAATCATGAACACCGAAGCTCCGGCGACCACCCCCAGGGGTCTCCGTAAAAACTGCACTCATGATATAAGCATGACTTGAAATTGTAATGTTTAACGACTGTTACTCACATCAACACCGCCACAGAAACCTTGGTATTCATCATAGTAGGCAGGAAAATTGAATTTCTCCTCCCACAAAGTGGCTCTAGATGGCGGGTCTAGCAATCGTCCATGACCTTCAGCCAGGGAGACCACGACTGCAACAGTTATTAACGCCAGGCTACGTCCCCACGAAAGAGGAAGAAAATCTCCCAAGGCATCTTGGGGAGACATTTCTGTTTTCTGGAATCTATCTGTTGTAGGAAAATGAATTTTTTTTTAGGAATCTTTTACATTAATAACACCATTAATGAAATATTACATGTTTAATAAACTAAACGATACCATATATGGGCATGTGAAATCTGTGCAGCTGCACAGGACGGCAACAATTTGAAGGCGGCAAAATATAGATAGTAGTCAAAGATGTTAATATTGTTGTTGCTTTTATTTATGAGCGTTCTGGCACTATCAGTGTCCCACTTTTACACCATATTTGTTTTACCCGTTGTTACATTTAATTATTCAATACAGTTTATTTTTGAAGTAAATTGTTTCGAAAATTATTGTTGGTAGAATGCAAACGAATAGCGCTGCTGAACTTTAGCTGAGGAAAAAAGTGAGGTGTAAAATAAATAATTGCACATGGGACTTATGTTTCCTAAACATGGGACTTATGTTTCCTAAATACGTGCTTGAAATGTAAGTTAGGAAAAAAAAATGACCAATTTAACTGTCGAATTGGCGAAACGGAAGTTGAGCATTTTTTGTCCCCTGGCACTTTTTCCTTTCTTTGCTGTTTTAGTATCCAGAAGCCATGAGTTGTTAACCCTTAGGCTCGGTATTATGGATATCGCAACCTTTCGGCCTTGATTCCATTGTAAATACCGTAAATCTGGGAGAAAATTTGACTTTCCTGCCTACCCCCGGGATTGAACCCGGACGACAAGGAGTTCGTCACCCGGTCTCCGCGCAATCCGGTTTAGCAACTACGCTAGAGATTCCTTTCTTTGCATACGACATTGTTCCAGTGTGTTATAGGCTGAGTTGAGTTGAGTCAAGAATTGACATCACAGCACTCGGGGCATTCCCTTGCATGCTCCGTTCTCATCTTCAGCAGCCATCGCAAAGTTCCAAAACTGATCGTACAGGTCACAATCTCGTTATGTGTCCGTCCTGCCTTTCCTCTGAGTACAGTGAGCCGGCCAGACCCTCTGGTTACACCCAGGTGCCTCATTCTCTCCAGGCCATAATAATCTTCTTTCTCTACTGAATCAGTTGCTTGTTCCCAAAGGGCCTTGACCACATCTGCCTTGTCATGTATGAATTCACCACCCAGTGGTGCAGATCCAGCGAATCTATCTTCCTGTTCATTACCCACCACGCCGGCATAGCCTGGAAAAAAGATACAAAGTATGCTCACTACCTGTGACTGTGTTATAGGTAGGCATGGGAAGCAAGCAGGGCTACGACCAGAGTGCTTTGCAAGACCAGCTGGCGTTAAGAAGCATCATCTATGATAAGCGGACGAGAATTCATGATCATCGTTGCCATCCCATGCATTTGACACGTTTTTTCTCAGATTCTGAGCTCTGAACGTGTCTGCAGTCTTTTTCTCCATTGTACCTATGCCATTTATAATTTCCCTCAGCCATGCAATGCTATCTATGATATCCACCTCAATATTGGTTTTATGCATGTCCAGCTTGCAGACATCTTTAAATCGTAGTGGAGGCCAACCACTTTCTGAATTTCAACATAAAGGATGTCCTTTAGGACTCTACCAACCTTTTCCCTATGAATGTCTTGTATCCTTCTGAGCATTCACAGACTGACAACTGAGAAAATATTTGTGATACATGCTCTTTTTAATGACTTTTGCGTTTGTAAACTGATTTTCCCCAGCTTTGATGCATATTTATGTGCGGGAAGGGGTGTCCGATATATCACATAGTATTGTTATGTGAAATTCTTTCCATATACAAACCGCGGACTACTGTGTGCCCCTACGGTAGTGCGTCGTAGTGCTGTTAGGAGGCCCTAATTATGTCATTTTAGACATATCGGGGTTTCTGGGTTTTATCATGTCGGATTAACATCCTAGATGCGGCTCATCAGATCGATGTGGTGTTAGACCGTTAGGTCTAAAACAGTCGACAAGGTACTTGATGATGAGGGTAATAATGATTCAGTTTATAACATATTAGAGATATTTAATTCTTATACAGTAGGAGCGAAGAACCTCCGGTTGCACCCTAATAAGGCAACCACAATTAAATATTTGATTAAATTTATAGGCTAATTTTAAAGTTCACAATTTTGTATGGTGCGCGAATGATGTTAAAAACAACCAAATAAATAAAGAAAAAGTTTGGCGCCAAGTTATAAACATAGACTGAAACCCTTCTTCCTCTACTTCCCAGCTATCACCAGCTGTTAAACTCAGGCGAAAAGATATGTTTGTTGTTCCACTTGTAGACTTTGGTGGTTTTGTTCAAGAACTTCAGTGTACGTGCACATCCGTTTTACAAATTTGGCTTATTTGTATTCAAACTGGTTCTTCATCTCTCAGGCACATGCTCTCAATTTCAAAGGAAACACCTCTAATAAGTTTCCTTACGACATGCTTGTTTGGAGACAGCGTGTTCCCCTACCCTCATTGAAGCCCTGAAACTCATATGGGGACAGTTGCAACTCAAAGACGAACAAACTGTCACCAGACATACAGAAAATAAAACCAAAATTCTCTTGTGACCTAAAAGCCTTTTGCATTTTTAAAACCGGCTGTTTTCTTAAAACCTGTTGTATTCTTACCTAAGGATGTTTACTCTTGACCAATCAGTCCTATACCTTATCCATGTAAGATAAATGTATACCTCTGCCGATTGTTAAATCCAACAGCTCAGTTCAATACTCCAATTTACAAAGTGAAATTGCAACTGCTTTAAATCTAAACGCAGGTGGCTTATATACGGAAAATATGCGAATTGCTGAGATCAAGGCGTGAATTCTTTTAAATAATAAAAAAATAAAAAAAAAAACAAGGAAATATGAATCCATATCTGTTTCTCGCAAACAAAAAGAAACACAATAGGGACAAAGAATGTATGGCTGGGACTTTTACACCACTGACCCCATGCTGATTTTTTCACAAGGAGTTGTCAGATCGCCAGGTCATTTGTCTGACGTTCAGACTAAGATATAATTAGACAAGACGTGTTTAACTGGGAGTCGTTAATCGGATTAGAGTTTGAGAAAAATATTTCAAGACGTTGAGAAATTTAAGGTGAGGTGACCGGTGTCTGCCACCATTATCCACGAGAAATAGATTCAGGGCACGTAGCTTTTCGTCCTTAGTGACATCAACAAGGGGGAACAAAAAAGGGGTAAGGGGGAGGGGAGGGTGGGGTTAGTTTAAAGTCCCAACCTTTAGAGAAGAATGGTTCACATGCTGGGATGGAGAACATCACGTGTTGTCGTACATCACTTGAGTACAACACAATGTTTACCTGCAGTATGCACTCTCCTATTATTGAAGGTAAGCGTTGCCATTCGCAAAGCCGCCGTAGCGTAGCGGATTCAAATCCGCATGGAATAGATTGTTTTCAAACATGATATGGGCTCCCAAGTCGACCCAGGTTTAAATGGGTACTAGGCAGAGTTCTGGGAAGTAAAGGCAGCCGGTATGGTGTTGACTACGTCAACCCCGAGTGTCAGTTGGTTTAAACATATACGTTAGTTGTTTAGTTAGTCGACAGATTATCCTCATTGCACGTTGAACCACCCAGTCCGTAAGTGCTCGGATCCCCTCCTCAGTAAATCCCGCAGCGTGTAGCGGCTAACGACATCAGTTCTGTGTTGGTTTATTCTTCTTCTTTGGTTACCCGCCTAGTGTTGTTCTTGTTTAGCGACACTCCTTTTAATATGCTGTTCTTACAGTCTGGCCATGGTTGCAAAATCGCAGTTCTTAATTGGTTCACGCAAATGTCTTAAATCTCGTATGACATTTAGTATATCAGCCTGGTCCATGGCTTATTCAGCTTTCACAGTAGCCTTACCTTCAAGTCTATCAGCGTGCCCATTTGCGTGTACCCCCATATGTCCTGGCAGATAGGTCTAGCGATAAATCTTCAATACGCGTAATGGCGTGGGAAAAGGGTCCTTTACCATTCTTAAGGAGCTCCCAATAGACCATCAGCAGAGTTAAGTGACCAGGGAATCTGGCCAACACTTTAGACTTAATGGTCAAAAATCTGATGGACATACAATCAAACTGTTACTGGCAGCATCGGGACTGGAACTCAGCTCTGGCTGCTGAAGAAGGTAACGGAAGGCGTTTAGGAATGTCCCGAATGCTGTCATGTTGGTTCTTAACACAGCTCAGTCGATGAGCCGTTGTGGGTAGATTCTTGGCTGCCGGTCTGAAGGCTCTAAGTCGGATCTTTGATTAACTAGGGTTCCACTGTTGATCCAGTCTTTCTCCCGTGTAGGTTGTACGGCTCCAATGCCCGCCCAGATGCGTGTGGTAAAAGTCGACTAATTGGGCTTCATTCGAAGTCGGAGGGCATCTGTCTGAGATGTAAGGAACCAACAGTCTGTATACAAATAAGCTAGATCTGTGAAATAGATGTGCAGGCAAAACTCAAGTCCTGGAACAAGACTGTCAAAAGTGGACGAACAACCAAAAATTTCCACCGCAGTTTACAGCCGGTGAACGCGAAGAATATTTTTATTACGTACTGAATGGCAGATAAATATAATAATATATTTGAAATAAGATAAAATGTCTAAGTAAATATTTACAAGGAGAACGACTATACATTTGGGTTTTTTTTTTGGTGGGGGGGGTGGGGGGGGGGGGTGCATGGACTTAGCCACCTTGTACATTTTAGGGGAGGGGGAGAAGCTGAACTCCCCTAATAATCAGATAGGGGAGGGACCTCAACTCCCAGGTTCCCCTATGCACCCACCCATGCATCCGTCAGTCCATCAGTCTGTTTGTCCACCTGTATGTCTGTCCGGCCATCTAGTTATCGACCATCAACCTGGTTCGTACTTGTGGCCACAACTATAAACAAAAGTAATTCACTTTGGCAGCAAGACAGAGAGAGAAAAAAGTACGATAAACAACATTCTCAGAAAGAAAAAAAAATAGAAATAAATTTACAATGTTGAAAACAATAGGAAGAAAACAAAATGAAATTTGCATTAGAAAAAAAAAAAAAGGAATAAAA